ACTGTATTATTTTATCCTGGGAATGTTTATGGCCAATTAACCAACTCATAGAAACAGCGGGCTTGATAGCATGGGCTAGATGAGGGGAGAGAGTTCCACTCCAACCATGCTTCAACTGATAGTGAGCTGAACTACTTGAAAATGCATCCATCAGCGTAGTATGATCCTTAGTCTGCTGAGAAACTGCAATCTTAATGTACCAGCCCACAACCGTACACCCAGAGTACATCGCTTTTTATAGCCCTTTATTGTACCCATGTATCTATGTACACACATCAGTAAAGAATGTATTCAAGGCAGATCTATCGGTCTGCAACAGCACTGATGGCCTTCATCATAAGTATAGACAAATGCTTTGTGAAAAAAAAAAACGAATAGATAACACTAAATTATACGGTACAAATGCAACTTCAGTAATATCAGCAGAAACGCAAAACAATCACCCTACCCTAAACTTTGAGTTATAAAAGATCTTCAGCTATTAGCTATTATGTACAATATTTACATAAAAGAAGATGAAGGTAGATAGAACAGGAACGAAGATTGCGTGGCAGAAATACTGTGAAATGCGACTTTTCACGTGCCCCACTTCTCAGCACAATCATGCAACCTTGAGGCAGTCAACAACCCAAGGCAGTACACTCTACTCGGTAGAAAAAAAAACACCTAACACTCATAAGCACTATCTACGAAACAACTGCAATATTGCAATATTGTAATACATTAAATGAGCACCGAAAGACCAGAAAATTATCCATACGAATAAGTTAAAACTATTAAAAATCTGAAAATATTCACACATGCATAGACCAATGAAAATTGCACACAAATACAGAGAAATCAAAGCAATTAGACCTTTCAAAAGTGAAGGTGGAAACTTGAGGAATTGCCCACCTCCACCTTGGAAGAGAGCTTACACCATCTGAAATCGCGGAAAATCCCCTCACCCCAAAAATCCCCTCACCACAACAACGGTCACGCAGCTATTGTCTTCAACACTCAACACATTCTTGCTTGATTTCCTTCTTCACGACCACGCCGTTGGGAGTGGTTTCGCTCGCAAACGTGAACCATGGCGTGTCCTGTTGTGGCAAAGTTTTGGAATACCAACGGCGACAAGCTCAAAACTTCTGAAAAAGAAAAGAATTCGAGAAAAACATACACGCTCTGAAACAATAGTGAAAGTCCTGCATCAAAAATACCTAGAAAATCAATTTGAAACAGCTGTTGATGCGATGGAAGGCTAGGTAATGACTAGTGCTTAATAAAAAGGCTCTCTATTCTAGGGATAAACGTCTCAATGAAAAGCCTCTAGTGTGGGTCAAATCACGATTGTGACGGCTCTGCTCACACGTGAACCGTCAAGCTACCAAGCATGCGATGGCTCTGGGAGATGTCAGACTTCGCGAATGCGATTCACAGTTTGATACCACAAAGAGTGCAGCGAAAGTGCTCACACGCGCTGCGCTCAGAACCAATGCAATCATACGGGGCGCTCTATTAAATAACGTTGCAGTTGAAGCAATATGTTCGTCCAGGGAGATTAGGACCATGTTCATAATTGGAAAAGTTACTTGTGGTGGAATCAATTGATGTCGGGTTCATACTCAGAGAAGTGAAGATTTCTTGAGTCACGTTCTCGCCTTCCCTTCAACTCTATAACGGTGGTTAGATGTACAATCGGTCCACACCGGAGGGTATGTTTACCCACATTCTTTGAGAGAGATCGCTCGGCTAATAGTTTTCAGTGAAAATTTCGACATACATCCCCTCCCTCCCCCACCCATCTACAAGCACGTAGACTCTTAACCCATTAACGTGAGTTCAAACGAAACTTCATAACATAACAAATAAGACGATTTTCAGCCACAATGCAAAACTCGACCAGCCGAATTGCCAGCTTCCGTCGCAGTTCAGTATTAACACAAATCATAAGCATACAAATACTTAATAAACAGTCATAAAAGGATGTTGGAACAATAACAAAAGCAAAACACTCACCGAGAAAATCTTGCGGATCCTTCAACAAATGTTTCTGAATGATGTGCAACCGGAAACTTTTCCTAGTTCCCATGACGGATAGGCATATTGGACACTGATCCACCACTACCAAACCTGTAGAAGCTATTGGTGGCATTAGCAGTTTCAAAGTAGAATAAAGCTACATAAGACCCAGAGCGTAACGACTCAATAAAACGTTAAAATGGCAAATAAAATAGAGCAATAGCGAAATGAAAAGCGGAAGTTTGGAAAAATCTGTATACCTGTCAACTTATTTTGCATTTCCTCCACTCGGTCCCACACCTCACCAATGCTGTTTTCAAAGTGGCTCAGAAGATGAGTATCACATGACTAGAATTGCATAATAAGTGCGCAATGCTCCACGAATGAACTTAAGACAAAATGATTGCATTCATTCACCTGTTTAGTTGGAAATTTCTCTGCGCAGCATTCGCACTGATATTTAAGCTCTTTTCGCAGCTTTGCATGTGAAACACGTTCATGTAACATAACCTCTTGAAGAGCTGAAGCATACAGTAAGCTTGGAAGCAGAGAGTGTCTCAGTTAGGCTAAGTGTGAATGCTTACTCAAGAATGTTTTGCAGCACATCCGACACTCCATAAGAGCTCCTGAGCCAAGACGATCTTTATAATGATTTTTGAGATGATCTTCGAGGTTGTCCGCAAAGACATTGCAGAGGCTAAAAGCATAACGAGTGCTGCCAGAGAAAATGAACTTGGAGATTTACTGCTAACATGAAAAAAAGGTATTCAACCTAATGAAGTGATTAAGGATCACCAAAGGACTACAAATCGCATGTCTTGAACAGGAAAATATTGATCGTAGAGAAGTAGGCGAAAAAAAGACTTTTAGATATTAAAGAATATATGGTAGTAATTTGCTTGCGAACAAAATCCGGAGTTCATAAGAAAAACCTGAACGTTATACCGAAGTAGTAAAAATTTCATTGAGCCTTATGGAGTACGCTTATGCTT